TTGGCGCCGCGTATTAGCACGTGTGTGCTCTCACTCAATGCGTCATTTCTCTCTTAGTCATTTATGTTTACTTCGCTCTGTCAAATTATTGGAGATATCTTCAAAAAGGAGGTACTTTATTGGGTAGGCTTTCGACACTGCAGCTTGTGCGTAGATGATAAGACGTTGATCGGGTAAGACTAGCACAGCATCAACCGCAGGGAAAGGCATCAACAGAGGAAAATACATCATCAATTTATTCTCAATTCTAGATGACGCTTGGATAAACATTGATTTTGCATCAAATGGACCCAATCGCGACAAGGTGTTGCTGCTGCCATTGATCGGCTCGAACGGTCTTACTGTTAGCGCCCTAGAAGCGAGGCTTGGAGCAGGACTCTCTCGCGTCTCCTTCTTACGCCACGAGAGCAAATCTTCTGTTGGGATCTTCAACAAATAGTAAAGTTTGTCAGATTTAAAAAAAATTAAGCTCGAGCTAGTAATTGCCTCCACAACCAAGAATGAATATGCCAAACGAAACTCGTCGGGTTCGTTCTCCACGCGTTATAAATGTAGTATAATGTGCTTTTCATGCACTTCCTGTCATCAACGTGGCGATCCATGTGCTCCAAACCATCGACAGTTTTTAGAGCAGCATTCTCGACATGTCGAACCAGCTTACCCAAATCTTCACTGGAAAACACTATTTTAGAAATACCCCCCGCAAGATTGAATATATGTAGCCACTCGTTGTGGTCCTTCAAACTTAATGCATCGTCCACGCCCTGGCACTCCGTTTTTTGGGCTACGAATTAAAGTATAGTGTAAAACGTATAAGTTTATCGTGTGTCCTTTTGATGTGTTTTCAAATCTTTGAAATGAACTTCTTTTGTTTTTTTTCGAAACCGTTGCAGGCCAGGATTATTTACATGGAAGCGCACATGCTATTAATCATGTCCTCGTCCATGATAAAAATTAAATACATTACCGCTCTCCTATTTCCGAAATGAATATATCGAAAGCATTCATTTTATTTTGTGCCGCCTCCAGATAAGATGCCCCAGGACGCGGTTACCGCTAATGCAACCGGCACTCGCGGACGCGCCGACGAACGTCGGCTCCTGCCCCGATAAAACTGCGCAGCAAATCTGGCCACTTGTTCCTGGTGGATCTGCCCAGCTGCCGATACCAGTTCCTGGCTGGCCCCGCTAGCAGATCCGCAAAGGTCAAACACTTCTCAGCATCCGACGCTTGATCTCTCATGAGGGCCGACTTGACTTTGCTGATCCATGTTCTCGCTCGGTCCTCATCTTGATCCTTGCCCGTGAACTCCTTCAGGTCCGATATGGCTGAGATCCGTACCCTCTGGATCATGGACGATCCACCTGCCCCGGCTGTGGCTGTTGCTACCACTGCTGACGAAGTGGATGGGCCATCCAGATCATCTGGGTCGAACTCATCATGGGAGTTGTCTCCCTCCACGGACTCCATCTCCACGTCTCGTGCTCCATGTTCGTGAAGCACTTGCACTTGTGGCCCGGGCGCTCTCATACCCTGTTCGGCCAGGAAACGACTCATCGCAGCTTCGAAGTGTCGCTGCAGGGTGCCCGAGGAAGTGTCGGACGAGCCTGTGGCCGTCTGGTCCACTGGCGAGACCGGATCCGTGAGGCGATTACCTTGAGCCCGATCTGACGATAATCTCACTGGCTTCTTGTC